TGATTTTATGACTTACAAAGCAGTTTCCCTCATGCACTGTCTGTCTTAACCTGTTTTCGTTTTCTGTGAATGTTACATTAACCACTACCCGACTGTTATGGGGTTCAGCCTGGTGCAGAAGTGTCACCTCATTTGTTCCCTGGTTTAATTCTGTTATTTGTTTGATTTTAATCTCCCTGTGAATATAATGCACTAACTCACTGCTTTGAAGAACCAAAGGAATAAAAAAACTGGACTGTTGACTGTTTAACAGAGATTTATTTTTGCATCATCTTACAGCAATCCTGCTGAACCATCGCCAAAGAACACACAGCAAACCCTCTGAGCTTTGCTTCAGGTTATCATGTTATTCATTATCAGACCAATATTTATTTATAAATTGTATTTGAACTCAGTAAAAGGCTTTTTCTCACTTACGTCCCTTTTCTAAACCAGAGGGCATATAGCACACGCTGGATGATGAAACTTATCACACTGTGATGTTTGTTATCAGAGAATCAGACTGCACAAACCCCTCTTCCAGTGTGTCTAAGGCCCACTGAAGAGCTCAGAAAGGACACAAGGAGAGAGGAGTCAAGGAAACAGTCTCAACAGAATGAGACATCAGCGTCTCAGAGCTTCATTTAAACTGTTGTAATTAAATAACATTAAATTACAACTACAATATAAATAGTTTCAGCCCAGCTTGTGTTTCATGTTCTGGGCTACTTTAATTAGATAAATAACATGAGTCAATGTGGCAGACAGCAGAGAAACTTGAATCTTCACACGCAGAAATGGTGAAGTCTGATCAACTATAAGAATGGAAAAAAAAACCCATGGATTGAAAATGACTTCTCCCCTCACGGTTTCGAGCTATTACTCTTTTTTAATCTAGAGGTTAAAAAAAACAACTCTGACCTCGAGAGCGATTGATGTTCAGGTAACAGGCAGGAGGACGGAGGAGATAAGGAGGCACAAATTAGAAAGAGTCCTCAGTGTTCCCACCCCTGTGCAGCAAGAGCCAATCAAACAGAAGCAGGAAACATATTCAATTTACTGGAACACTGAGACATGTCAGTAATGCTGCTGCTGCTTTAATCTTGATCACCGGATAATGCTATTGGCTTGTTTGTAGCCACGAGGAAAAATAAAGAAGCTTTTTTTTCAGATTGAAGTGTCAATGAAATCAGGGATCCTTGTGGGGCGTTAGTGACAGCTGTCTGTTTTTAGATTTTTCTGTCTCTGTGTTCAGCAGCAGAAGATTCAGACTTCAACCTTAGAAAGATCTCAGACATTTGAATCTGCAGTTCAGCAGGAGGATGATGTGAATCTCCACTCTGTTGTTCATATCTTCTGTACATCAAAAAAAAAAACAACAACAAAAAAAGCAGCAACGACAACAAGCACAGCAGAAAGTGTCAGTTTCAGTCCAACAGATCCAGCCTCCTTCTCTTACACACTAATCTAATAATCACAAATTTTTATTAAATACTTCTAATTGTATGCACTACTTACCTGTATTTAGGTGTAAAAGAGAGCTAAGAATACTTCATGGTAGCATCAGCCTATGGGCTAGGGACCCTAGCTGACATTGCTAAGAGTAAGTATGAAACTGTGGGAACCTTATATGAATTATATTAGAAAGACGGAAATCTGAATGCAGGAAATTTGTGTTAACTGAGTGTGTGTGGTTCTATATGTTTAAAAAAAAAAAAGTCTAACAGATTTTTAAAAATCAATCACTGTGCATTATTTTGACTGATGTATTTGAAATACAGAAAGAACTTAGACAGGATTTTCATTGCTTTAATCTGGTAATAATGTGTTTGTTTGATTTCTGAAACATTTAAAAAGCATTCAGCCAATAGTTGTGCACACACACACAAACACACACACACGTATGTATAAAAAAATAAATTCCCCACTCGCCCCTGTGGGCGGTCAATCCTTCAAGCTCGGGTCCTAGGAACAGCGCAGTGGGAGCTTGAGGGTCCTGCGCAGTATCTTAGCTGTTCCCAGGACTGCGCTCTTCTGGACAGAGATCTCCGATGTT